AAGCCGAGAATTGGCGAGTGCCTCTAGAGGTATTTCAGGCGAATGGTATCTCCCCACAGGGGGAGACTCCTCTCCGTCTGGAGTCCCTAGACCACTCGAACCTGAGGGGGTCGGCTCAACTAGATAGCGTCTCTGAGACTCGGACCTCGGCTCTAGTTAGCTGTTGTCGTGGGGGGTGGGGTCCTGTGTAGACTGGGTCTTCACACTCTTATCCTCCGGGGCGGTGTCTGCCTAATGCTAAGCTAGTGAGCATGTTTGCTAGCTGTGTAGTGTTGGTGTTTGTGGCCTGTGTGGGAGGAATCGGAGGCGACTCCACGAGTGCATGAGGAAGGCCCCAGTGCGGGAGGAATGGCGGCGTATTGTGAAGCGCGCCACCAATCCTGTTGAGACGACCACGACCACTCTGTCAAGACTCAAGAGTGTAGCGCTGAAGAATAATTTCAAATAAATGATTGCAAAGTCTATCGGTAACTTGTAAGACTTTTAATAGTAACTAGAGGTGCGGGAGGAATGGCGGCGTTTTGTGACGCGCACCAGCTACCCTGTTGTGACGACCTCGATCACTCTGCCAGGCTCAAGAGTGTGGCGGCAAAGAAGATATTTTTAACAGATGATTGCAAAGTCTATCCGTAACTTGTAAGACTTTTATTAGTAACTAGAGGTGCGGGAGGAATGGCGGCGTATTGTGAAGCGCGCCAACAACCCTGTTGTGGCGACCTCGACCACTCTAAGACTCAAGAGTGTGGCGCCGAAGAAGAATTTAAACAGATGATTGCAAAGTCTATCCGTAACTTGTAAGACTTTTATTAGTACTAGAGGCGCGGGAGGAATGGTGGCATATTGTGAAGCGCGCCACCAACCCTGTTGTGACTACCTCGACCACTCTGTCAAGACTCAAGAGTGTAGCGCCGAAGAAGAATTTTAAACAGATGATTGCAAAGTCTATCTGAAACTTGAAAGACTTATTAGTACCTAGAGGTGCCCAGCGGTTTCACCCGCATTAATTTGAGGCAAAAGATTATAGTGGGTCATCCTTTAATGCTGTCGCGGACTTTTTTTATTGAACTTTTAAAGGGGAACATGTACGTCATACATGATTATTGTGTAGCTTTTGCCTTTTACACAGCGCAACCAACGGAGGCTCACTAATATAGGAATATTTTTTGCGGTTCATACATTTTTCATTAGTGCTCCGTTCCTTTTAGTCGTAGCTGTATTAGTCTACCTCAATACAGGCACCAGTTAACGCAAAAATAAAATTATTCAAATCGGGCCAGTAGTCGAGTTCCTCCGTGCTTCGGAAGGCACTTTAAGCCGTTGGTCCCGGCTGCATCTGCAGTCGTTAGCACCCGCCAATGCGCACTGGGCCCGCGTGGTCGGTCATGGCCCGATTTCCCTATTACATCCATAGGGAAGGCCTGTGCCCCAGTAGTGGGGACATTAATAGGCTGATGATGATGAACCAAAGAAACAAACTCTTCAGCTTTTAATATGTGTATTATAGATTGAACTAATCTTTGTCTGCTAATTCGTATATAATTGAATGAGAAATTTCATTAGTTTTGTCTAGCTAGATCTTAATCACCATCAAGGTCTTGCCTAAAATGGCCTAAAAGAACAAATGTCAAAGTTGTGGCTTTGAATAGAGTGGTATGTATACATATTAATGTTCATTTCTATTTGACTGTATAGATCTTTGTTTCAGCTTTTTACCGTGAATTTATTCAAACCAAATAGAAAGCTATACAGGGCGTCCCACGGGTTTTTCACACGGTGGGAAAGTATATTAATTATTGAAGATATAAGAAGGCATCATTTTATATTTAATAATAACTACAACTGCATTCACAATTTTTTTAAATCGTCTGCTACAACTAGGAATCAAACTTGTGAAATAAAAAAAAAACTCATGACGTATTTTATGAAAACCATCGAAAGGTTAATTTATAAGGATTATATTTTCCTAAATATAACATAGCATTTTAAATGAAAGAAGCTCATGAAATTTTATTTTTGTTCAGGAAAATTGATCCATTGATTACACCGTTATGTATCGTCGGCTAGCAGTCATAATACGACAAGAGATGTGACAAATGGACGACAAAAATTCAAAACTGTCGTGTAAAATGAAGCTAATACTGGCAGACATTGCAGACACATTCAGCAGCGGTACCGTCACAAATATATTCTGGCAACAATTATGGTTTTTCTTATTTATTTAAAAGTAAAGGACAGTAATCAAGTTGTTTTCACCGGGGTTCCCCCTGCCGCTATTTTCAAGTAAAGATAAGGTGAAATATGCGAAAAAAAGAAGACTTCAGCTTGTTCGTGACTTCTTTCTTTCACGTGAAAAAAGCGTCAGGGCTAACCCCGGTGAAAACAACTTAATTATTGTCCTTTACTTTTAAATAAATAAGAAAAACCATAACAGTTGCCAGAATATATTTGTGACGGTATCGTTGCTGGATGTGTCTGCTACAATGTCTGGTAGTTTCAGCTTCATTCGTTTAAAGAACTATTTTGTTAGTTCCATGTACAAACCATATGTAGTTACATTTCACACTTCCGTAAGTAACAGCAAAAGCGAGATTTTCTCGCATGAAATAACAAGTGTCAAGTTTTAAATGGAGTCAGCTGCTCAGGCCGTATGAGTAAAGAAGCCGCAGAAGTGAAGCTTCATGCAGTGCGCGTGTATAAGTGAGCACTGGCGGCCTGTCGCTTCCAACAAAAGCTCAAGCACGAATGTAGACAGCTCGTCAAAATTTCTAAGGAAACTAAGAAGCGCTCCTACCGGACGTAAGAACCTTGCTCCTTCTTTACAAAATTTTTCGATGACAATACTATCACGGAACTGTCAAAATTCGTGTTTGGGCCTCGGAAACGTTTCACTGCGTGCGGGATCGGTGCTAGTACTAAAGCACACACGCGCAATAGGCTATTTGAAAAATTTACCAATTATTGGTATCTTATTCGACATGAATATTGGGAGCATTTATATATTGTGAAAAAAGAAGTAGTTGATGAAATGATTACTAAATATTATGAAATTTGACCTATTGTGACGTAACCGAAGACGCCTATTGGCGGAGCCTAAAAGATGTCACCTGCTTGTAAACATGCTAACGAAGTGTTACATTATACTTCATACTGTTTGACGTTATAATGTGACGTCATCTGCTTGTAAGACACCATATTTGCTAGAGAAACGATTCCGCGGCATATTTGAAAACAGAATTTTTATTTTCTTTTTATTGACTTAAATACGCAACAGAAATATAAACTTTTTGTGGAGTCGCTATACACTTACAAATAACGTATGAACGTTTTCATTAGTTTGTCGAAAAGCCTATTGTATGAAGCATTGGTTCTGTTCTTTCTTTATTCTATACTCTATTGGGCACGCCATCCGCCACCGGCACAGAAATAAAATCTGACTCAATGATTCGCGCCGCCACCGCCGTTCAGCAGAAGCATGACCTGTGGTAGGGTTGCCCACTGCAAAAAATATAATATTTTCATTCTCAGTTCCAGTTTTCGTTAGCTGCTTACATAACCGTCAGCTTTGGTATTTTTTTATGAACTAACTAGCTGTGTCCCGCGGTGTTACCCACGCGTTATTAGGGATTTTTTCCCGCAGTAAAACGTAGCCATGTGTTTATCCAGGGTGTCAGCTAACTCCATATCAAATTTTATTAAAATCGCTCCAACTGTTTAGACGTGAAGAAGTATCAAACATACGTACTCACACACTCACATACTTTTGCCTTTATAATATTAGTGTGATGATCAAGTTTTTCAAACAATTGGTGTAATGATTTCTTTCGCCAATCCACTATATCTATCATATGTCACCAAATCTTACTGTTTTCTCACACTGTTCTCTTTTATGACCGCTCGAGTACTATTCCAGTCCAGCGATTGAATCCAGCGTTGGAATAATGTGAACCGATGTTCCCATTCCAGTCCATTGACTGGCTGGATTGACGGTTTACTTTTAATTCCATCTTTCCCATTCCAGCGCCACTGGAATAGTGTAGACTATCCATTCCAGTACTGGATTGAATGTTTACAATAAGAACTTTGAAACTGCTTCTTTGTAACCATTGTTACTATAGGCTTACTAGTTCGACATTTTTCAAATGACTGGAATAATGGAAACTGAGCATTATATTCACATTGGCAACCCTTTACGTATACAATGCGGTTCACGCCCTCGCGTTTTGTTTTAGAACTAGTGTTTACGTTAGAGAACTAAACGACACAGCTGCGTGAATGAGATGCGAATGAGCTTTGGATCATCCATCCATCCGGGCCTCTGCGGAAATTAAACGTAACGTAGGTGGGGTTATGACAGATCTGAGAATACTCGACTTCGACGCGACAACATTGATGAAAAAAATATGGGCGTGTTATTTACATTTCATGATGTGTAGGTTTAATTTAAAATAAGCGTTTGAATCTAGGAAATAAGGTGTTAAATTAATTTTGCTTTGTTAGACTCGTGTTCCTAGTCGTGTCATGCGTAATCGAACTCTGTACAACATCGGAATACCGCAGTTTGATCTATTCTTACCTATGATTCTTACGGTACAGGCGAGCACACGTCGTTTTTGTTAAAATTTTTCAATTTAATAATTGACCATACTTTAACGTGGTTCCAGTTCAATATAAATAAGGTTCCTCGGCAAATAGTACTACTAAAGCCGATGGCTGTTCTGGCTGAATCTGGTGAATCGGTGTTAAGTCTTTTGTATGTGGTTATTTTAAATAAACATCATCACTTTGACAAGCAATAAATGTAAGATTGCGAAGAAAAAAATATACATCCTAGCCACTCCCTAATTGTTATTGATTGATAAAGTTTTCCGATAAAATGTCCAGCCCTTCGCCTACTGCTTTTCCACTAAATTCTTTAACTATCTGCTCTAAAGAGTTAGCAGTCTTCCCATAATTCCTTATGCTTTGTATGACATTGTCTGATGGTAGCCACTTTTTCGCAGGCGCCTAGCGACCCGCTCTCACCGCAAGCACAAGCGGGCGCGTGACGCTCCCTCCGCGAGCGTGTCGAGCAAGCACTACAGGACAGCTGGCGGCGGCTGACCGTCGCACCCGTAAGTATTTCTATGTCATATATAGTCAGGTAGGCAAATGACTCTACCCCACCTGATGTTAAGTGGTGATAAAGTCCAAACGCGAAGATAGCTGGTACAACAGTTATAAACTGCTACACCAACCATCCTCATCTTGCCGGCCTGCAAAAATTTTCTTAACGCCTCTCTTAAAGGACCCCAGATTGTAGGAAGGAGGGAACACGTGCGCGGGTAGAGAATTCCACTTACGAATACTACGACAAAGAAATGAGTCACCAAATTTCTTTTTTGGTGTAGGAATGGTGGGCACAGTAAGTCGATGGCAACGCAGGCCAGCGTGTGTGGTTCTCCGAAGAAAAGGTGATGGAGGGATAAGGGAGAATAACTTCTCAGAACACTCGCCGTGGTATAGTCTAAAGTAAAATGCGCTTAATGATGCCACATCACTGCGTTAATTATAGAGAATCGAATTTGTTAGTTACCTGTTCATCGCCAATGATGCGGGTAGCACGCCGCTGCAACCTATCCAAGGCATCGAGTAAGTACTTCCCAGAGGTGCGAGAAATATTCCACGCAAGACCTCACTTGCGTTTTGTACAATAAGCACAGTTGATCAGGTGTGAAAAAACGCCGCACCTTGTTCAGGACTCCCGAGTTTGCGTGTAGCTGTTTTGATCACGGTTTCAATGTAGTCCTGTTATATTAAAATGGTGGCAAACAAACATATGGCCCGCCTGATGGTAAGCGGCCACCATAGCCTATAGACGCCTGCGATACCAAAGCTATAGCCGCGCCGTTGCTTACCCTCACCACATCCTCTACCCAAGTCTCACGGGTGCGAAACGGAGAAGCCGTTAAGCAGTCCGCGCGGCTTACGAGCGCTTACGGCATATTATCCGCTAAAAAACCCTGCGAATACCCTCTACGCTGGTAACTGCTGAACCGCGAAATCCCCGTTGAGGGACTTCACCGCGTGTCCGCACCGACCCCGTGGAGCCATGGAACCTTAGTCACCGGCAGAACACGTCACACTACCACCACAAAGTATATTTTACTGTCGCCTTCTGTACGGTGGGGGTTACTTCTTCAGACGGGCTCTTGATAGAGCAATCGTGCGCAAATTCCGCCGTGTCCTACCTGTATTATTTAATTACTAGCAAACCAGTGAACCAAATGTTCACCAAAACCTGATTTCTCGAAAACCGGAAGTGCTACGTTTCTCAAATCCGGTTTGTAGTCTTATCAGACTATTCTTAACTTATAACTTAAATATTCCCTTTATCTATCTCTTACGGTTTGGCCGCTGAAACAGCACCACAGACAGACGGACTTGTCTAATAGATAAGAGACTAGCAAACCAGTGAACCAAATGTTCACCAAAACCTGATTTCTCGAAAACCGGAAGTGCTACGTTACTCAAATCCGGTTTGTAGTCTTATCAGACTATTCTTAACTTATAACTTAAATATCGTGGTTATGCAGGCAAAACCAATTTTGACGACTTTATCAAAAAAAAATTTATTGCATGCATCGACTAAGTTTTTTCTGCTCTGTCGGCAGGTAAAACCCTTTTCTTCATCAAACGCTCCGTTTCGAAGTTACCGCATGTAAAAACCAATTTTAAGACTAGTTAGCCGTGCAAGGCTGCAATAAAAATAATTTATGTTGACATAATAAAATTTTTACCGGTTCGGATCCCATGCAAAACAAAATAACACAGTAAAAATGGTTTTCCTTTACAGGGTTTACTGTAATCTTTGTGTGATTTCATCTACAAAATCAAATTACATGAAGATAACATACCCAAGAACTATTATGATTTCAGGCAAAACATAGTATTATCATGTACTTGCTTTTCCGCGAAGTAATTCATTAGTGCATATATCAATTTGATCCTAGCAAAAAGTTTATTTGCGTCTTAATGTGTTTTGTTTGAACGAATTTAAAACACGCGCGAATGAAATACCTTCAGCGAAAGCCAATTATTCACATATCGTGGTACGGATCGCTGGGTTGCTAGAAATCCTAAAATCCACGATTTGTATCAAATATCGTTGATAAATATCGAGCGTCTAGTCTCTAATCGATATTTATTGCGTCAGTATTAATATTGTCAGCGATGGAAGAGGACGCGCATATTGAGGCGGCGGCGCCCGCCATACCTCATACAAACAACCAAAAGCACTTGAAACAATTCATACTAGTGTTAAAACACTACCAGAGGTATAGGACAGCTCAAGTGCCGACACTGTAAATAAAGTGAAAAGGGCGAATGCCTATGAGCAACTATTTGAATTTAAAAAAGAATTAAACCTGGCGCGACTACCAAAGATGTCATTGCGAAGATAAACTCATTAAAATCGAATTAAATAGGAAAGAATTAAAAAAAATAACCGATTCGAAGCGATCTGGTGCTTCTACGGAAAATGTGTACAATTAGGGTTGCCAACTCTACTATATAATATAGTATCCTACTATATTAGGGGATCAAATACTATGTTCCTTTCACGCACAATGGTCCAATAATTAGGACTAAGTGCGGAAACCGCCCTGAAGAACTAACTAACTAACTATATTCCTAAAATATATAAAGTAGGCGAAACTACTATATTTTGCTTAAAGCAGGTTTTTGCCAATAAAAGCTTTCTTAAAAATAAAAACTGTATTATTAAGGTATAGAGCAGCAAAATATATACTAATTTTAAAAATAAAGTAAATATTTTAATCATATACTGATGTCGATTCTGGCACGGTTCTCTAAATCTAAACTTAAAATTGACAACAGTGTATCCTTGTCATTCTCTATACAGAATAAAAAGGAGAGACTGATGTTAAATTTAGTTTTAAGTTTAGAGAATTACGCCAGAATCGACGCCACTATATGTTTTTCCATTTTTTTGCCTTCTACTATATTTTAGAGGTAACAGCTTCGAAAATACTATATTTGATAGAAAAAAAGTTGTTAACCCTATGTACAATCCAAAGTCTTGGGTATTTTATATTATCACTCATAGCTTTATTTATACTGTAATACGAAACTTACGAGTGTACACTGTCGTACTGACGTGATTCGTATCGTGTGTGTAGTATAAGAAAATATTACTAGATAAATATCACGTTAAATATCGAGCGTGTAGCAGTCGCCTATATAGACCAGTATACGCTGAGCTCTTGTCTGTACCCCGCGTAGTACGAATAAGTTTATACTGGTACTGTCTAATTTGACGTGAGATTCATAAGGTATAGTATACAGAATGTAACAAAATGTCGAAATAACATTTAAGGGCCTGATTCTGCTGTTTAAGTATGTTTTGGTATGGTAGAATTTGGGTGCTTAAGAATAAGGTTACCTGGCACAGATTTGTATGTGCCAGGTAACTTGTTTCTTTATTTTATTTTTATTTTTTATTTATTTATTCAGAAAACCAACAGCGTAACAAAAAAATTTAAATGAACCCCAATGTCGTACAAGTAAGCGCTATAAAATAAAGGCCCTAGATGCGACCCCTGAGGCACGCCTGTTGGTATATCAATGAAGTTTGATCTATATCCACCCAAAACAACTGCCTGAGAGCGGTTTTCTAAATATGACTGTATCCAACGTAACAAGTCCCCGTGGATCCCCAGACTATAAAGCTTGTGAAGCAAGATGACGTGATCAACGCGATCGAAAGCCTTTTCGAAGTCCGTGTAGATCACGTCTACCTGTCCGCCGCTGTCCATATTCATCAAAGTGTAATTCACAAAGGTAGATAAATTGGTAATAGTGGAGCGACGACGAAGAAAACCATGCTGACGGTCTGATAATCCTTTGTAGATAACAGGGTAAATCGCTGCGTACACAATTTTCTCGAAGACTTTACTTATTGTATTAAGTATGGAAATTCCTCTGTAGTTTTCCACCTTTGTTTTGGAGCCTTTTTTGTGTAACGGAATAATGTGAGATTTTTTCCAAATAGTGGGAAAAGTGCCCTCAAATAGCGATCGATTAAAAATAACTGTTAGTGGAGATGCCAATGTTTTAGAGCAGTTTTTCCAAAATATTGGAGGAATGTTATCATTGCCAGCGCCCTTGGAGCAGTCCAAGTTGAATAAAGCTTTAGATACTGTTTCGACAGGAATATTTAATTTAGAAGCATGATCGATGCTCGTAGATGTTTGTTGAAACGACGGGGTGGCAGTGTTAGGTTCTCCGAAAACACTCCCAAAATAATCACTAAACGCTTCGCATATCAGAAAACCATCTGTGAGTGTAGTTGACCCTGCAATAACAGACCGAGGATAATTAGAACCTCCACGAAGTGACTTTATATATGACCAAAACATTTTGGGACAAGTTTTAACAGAGCGCTCAACGTTGTTGATGTAGCTTTGAAAGCAGGCTTCACGTACTCGGCACTGTCTTTTACGTAACAAAGAAAATTCATCATAGTCCAATAGGTTTCCGTACTTTTTCCACCTAGCGTGAGCCTTGGATTTCTCTTTTATAATATTAATTAGGGACTTACTGTACCAGGTGGGATACGAGCGATTTGAACCATGTTGCTTGCTAAAGGGGACATATTTATTGATGGCATCGTAGACAATTTTGTAGAAGGTATCTGTTGCTTCACTGACTGAACGGGATGACAAAATAGAATTCCAATCTTCTTCAGTAAAGTGCTTATTTAAGCTGACATAGTCTCCCTTTCTGTAGTTACGTTTTAAGCTGTTTAATTCCTTCAATGGCTTAACTGACACGTCTAATATTTCAATCAAAAGAGGGGGATGGGAACGATCTTCCTTAACAAAAGGTATATGTTTTTCAACTGCTAAAGGTAAATTAGAAAATGCCAAATCTAGTACGTTCCCCGCATAGTTTGTAAAATTATTGTATTGACAAAAGCCTAATAGGGATAGGTTATTTATTAAGTGAACGCCTGCCTTTTGCACCGCGATACATCCACGTTGTGCGAAGATGGGTTTGTTCGCACTCCATTCAATTTGTGGAAGATTGAAGTCACCGAGTATCAAATGATTAT